GATAATGGACCTAAAATCATATTTGGCATAGTAGTTTTGTCTACAAAGAATATTTAGAGAAGCATTGATGCTGCTCCTAGGAGGTGTGAGAGGTTAGCCATGGCGGGTGTGAGAAAACGCCGAGTAGGTTAAAAAAGTATTGGGGTGAGGTGATTAGGCAGGACATGACGCGCTTCAGCGTACTGAGGACATGACCCTTGATAGGAAGGTGTGGAGGTCGAAGGTTATTAGATAGTTGAAAGTTTCCCCTTTTCTCTCCAGTAGTATATATTCTCTTCTTCTTCTCACCTTTCTGAACCGAGGGTCTATTAGAAACAACCTCTTTACCTTCACTAGATAGAGGTAACAACTGCATCACACTACCCTCCCCAGACCCCACTTATAGGAATATACTGAGATTGTTGTTGTTGTTGTTGTTAGTTCGTGGATCTGGTGAAGAAGGGTTGTAGTATTGTCTTTTGTGTATAAGGGTGTTGTGTTTGTGATACACCTTTTCATTTTTGTTTCTAAGCATTGGATTAAGTGCATGACTGCAAGTAAAATTAGTGACAAGATGGTTTTGCCTTTTACATATCAAATGTGCAGAAATGATGTATAATTAAGAAAAATATACTCAAGCTATTTTATGAGAGTCATCATCTGCTATATGGGCAAACCATTTCCTATTCTTCTCCATCATTCTCAGCCAGATCGTGTTCATGTGTTTAACTGGTTTTGTAGCGTTGACTTAGTGCTTTGCAGATCTCTCTCTTCTCCATTTGGCCTTACTAGAGTACTTTAATTACTTAATAACTAAAGCATAGGTGCCATTACCTTGAAAATGAAATGAATGACGTCGGGGAAGAGTTTGTTCTGGAGGACAATATTTCCCATGAAATATGTGTTTTTTTGGAAAATGTTTTATTTATGGGAAATCATTTTATGTTTTCCGGTTGGATATAAAATAAAATTATTTGATAATCACACATGGTAGAGGATAAGGAAGAATAATGTTTTGGTGATACTTGGAGTTTAAAAATTGACAATAATGTCCAAGTTGGTCGAAGTTTGTGATATGGAAAGAGTTGGGATGTATATATTATATAAAAGGAAAAGGTAAAGGAAAATAACTTCATCCACAAGTGAGGAAGTCATTTTTCCCTTTTTGGCGGAAAATATTTTGTGGTATCTAAACACTCTAAAATGATTTGCTTGCTAGCCAAACTTCAAGTCAAGTGAATAAAAATTGGATTGGCAGCTTTTGCTATTTGCATGTCATCCTTTTCAGTAGCTCTCCTCCATTTTGAATATTCCTCTATTCTCCTGCGCCTTCGTCTTTAGTTTTTGCTGAAAAGCCCACCAAGCAAAAAATGTGAGTTTCATGCCTGTACTAGGGAACCTTCTTGATGCCACCGTCCACGAGATATTTGCCCCATTTATATAAGAATGGGGCCCATTTAAATGAGATATTTGCCCCATAAATGCTATATAATGACATTCCCATGTGCTACTTATGCCAGGATGATTGAGGTTGGAAAAGAGTATAAAGAAGCTCTGCCTAATGATGAGTCATATGACTTGGTTATTGGCTTACTTTTTTAAAGCAGATCTCATTGAAGATGCCTTAAAATATGTTGATTCATCATTGAAATCCGGCTTTAAGTTATCCATGGATGTATTCAACAAGTGTGTACGCAGCTGTGTTTTCAACAACAGGCTGGATATATTAGTCTCAATTATAGAGAAATGCAAGGTAGCTATGCCTTTCTTTTTGATTTTCAGATAATTCTTACCGTGCAGCTGTCCCTGCTTGAAATATATTTTGATATCTGACACTGCTTATATGGTATTGGCAGAAAAAGGATCAAAACAAAGGCCTACTTCCACCAAGATGAACACCTTCTTTCAACAAAAGTAAAAAACTTTCTTTTTCTTTTTTCACAACTTTAACCTCTCTTTATTCAAACACTCTCTATTATTATTTTCCCATACCAAACACAAGGAAGAAACACCATTATTTATAGGTGTAGAATTTTTTCCAAATAAATAATAAGGTAGTGGGATAATAAAATTGTAGAACATGGTTGGTGGTTACAAAATTTAATCTTTAGTCGGTAATTAGTGGTAGATCATGGCATTAGTGGTTTCATGAGTTACAACAAAGTAATGACCACTTTCTTGCCAATTTATAACCACTATCTCACAAGAAATAATACACTTTAATATTATAATTTTAATATTAAAATGCACTAACACCAACACATTTAACCAAATAAAAACTTTGCAAGTTTGAACACCCAGTAATGAGTCATATGACTTGGTTATGGGCTTACTTTTTAAAGCAATCTCATTGAAGATGCCTTAAAATATGTTGATTCATCATTGAAATCCGGCTTTAAGTTATCCATGGATGTATTCAACGAGTGGTACGCAGCTGTGTTTTCAACAACAGGCTGGATATATTAGTCTCAATTATAGAGAAATGCAAGGTAGCTATGCCTTTCTTTTTGGTTTTCAGATAATTCTTACCGTACAGTTGTCCCTGCTTGAAATATATTTTGATATCTGACACTGCTTATATGGTATTGGCAGAAAAAGGATCAAAACAAAGGCCTACTTCCACCAAGATGAACACCTTCCTTCAACAAAAGTAAAAAACTCTCTTCTTCTTTTTTCACAACTTTAACCTCTCTTTATTCAAACACTCTCTATAATTACTTTCCCATACCAAACACAAGGAAGAAACACCACTATTTATAGGTGTAGAATTTCTTCCAAATAAATAATAAGGTAGTGGGATAATAAAATTGTAGAACATGGTTGGTGGTTACAAAATTTAATCTTTAGTGGGTAATTAGTGGTAGATCATGGCATTAGTGGTTTCATGAGTTACAATAAAGTAATGATCACTTTCTTGCCAATTTATAACCACTATCTCACAAGAAATAATACACTTTAATATTAAAATGCACTAACGCCAACACATTTAACCAAATAAAAACTCTGCAAATTTGAACACCCAGCTTTTCCCTACGTCTGCTTAAGTTGGTTAGGGGGCTTTTCAAGGAATCAACACCTATATGCAGAAATTCAAGATGAATTGCGTATTTTTGTTTCACTTTCGGCATAAGAGAGGAGTGTTTAGAAGATGCTGCATCGGTGATAGATATTATAGGTTCCTTGTTGTAAGATGAACAAGGGCTTTCCTTTGCTTCTTTTGAGTTGTGAATACGGGTATCTGCACAGCCTTTGTGCCGAAAATCTATGGATACCTGCTTAAAAAAAGTTGGTTAGAGGGTTTTTCCTATTTGGTCACTTTATACAGTTATACTTTGTCTTGCTGCTGATTCCTAAGATATTGTTCAGGTTTACTATTATTTGGAGAATTTGAGCCGGGCAGATCCCCCGTACAAGTTTGTTACTGCTTTGAACTGTGTAATACTAGGCTGTGCCAACATATGGGATATTGATCGTGCTTATCAGACCTTCACCGCAATTGAATGAATATTTGGATTAACCCCAGATATTCATTCTTACAATGCTCTGGTAAATGCATTTGGGAAGCTAGGAAAGGTAAATAAATGAACGTAAAATCTTCATGAAAGCATTGGACAGCAATGCATTTTTTTCTCTCTTTCTCTTTCTGTCACAACACCAGGCCTTATAACATGCTATTGACTTTAACCCTCTCTTAATCTTCTTGGATACTATTAAACATTTGAGCGCAATTATAGGTCGTCTGGTTAGTAGCTGTGATGGTTTTCAGTGTTCATATCTAAATGATTGTTTACTTAAAATAGTATTCAAGGTTCATTTATTTTCCTTGTTTATGGTGAAATGATTCTTGTTAAGCAGACCTATAGCTTATAATCAATGGAGTTAGTCATTTTGCATATCTTTTGTCTTATGGTTCTATGCATGTTGATGCAGTTCCTCTTCTTGTTGCAGAGGGATGAAGCTGCAAAAGTGTATGAGCACTTTGTAGGTTTAGGTGTTAAGCCAAATGCAATGACTTTTTCTCTGCTTGTTGATGCTCAACTGATTAAGAGAGACCTTAAAGGCGCAATTTCTGTTGTCGACGAGATGGTACTTCGTAGTTTGACTGCAATCACTCTCCCACCCCACCCTGCAGTCCCCTCAAATAAATGGCTTGAGCTGACTAATAATATAAAAATTGGCATCATGTACAGGTGCGTGCACAATATAAACCATCTAAGGAAATGCTGAAAAAGATCCGAAGGCGATGTACTCGAGAGATGGACTATGAATCTGACGATCGGGTGGAATCATGGGCCAAATAGTTCGACATCCGAATGGGCACAGAGAACCGTTGGAACATGCTGTTTAATCTTGAATACAGTACTGAATATGCCGGATAGATGGTGCTGCAGTGACTCTGGGATCACTTTCACAGTCTACCCTACTAATCTGTTGGCCCCTTTTAGTTTGTTAATGGGGACCTTTTTGCTAAGGACTTGATAGATGGTTGATTAGATATCATTGCTTATAGCAATTTAAAGCTATCCTAGGGTCTCTTTCCCTCTTCTCCAGGAGAGCATCCACAAGTATGACATTAACGTGCAGATGGAGTTGACGAAATCTGGTGATGTTGTGCATCGTGTGTCCTTGGCCTTAGCCTTTATCCAATGTCTATAAATTATAAAATTCTGGTTGGGATTAAGCCATGGAGTGGCTAATTAGAATTTCTTCGCATTTTCATATTCTTTTGTACCCTTTAGGAAGAGGAAAAGCAAAGACGCATTGCTACTATTGCAATGAGATCAAGGTCTTGGTAAACAATTGTAGCACAATTTTCATGCTGAAAATGTTACATTAGATACAAATTTTCATTCGGTTCTTGCTTTTCGTCTTCTGCAAAATTGATTCTGTTTCTTATGTCAATGACCATTTTGCTGGTGAACTTGTCAGGGATTCATGGTACTGAGATGAATCTAGCATCCTTTTTCCACTGTGAATATTTACTCACTTCAAATGAAATAAAATTGTCTGATCTGCAGTACTGTATCCTCTACATCTGGAGGTAATTGTTCAAACTATTTACGAATTGTATTATATTCTTTGCATCACTGTAATCTTTTGAATAGCTCAGTAAACAACTGAAAAAACAAAATGTAATCTAGAGTCTTATTTTCTGGGATTACTGCCCGCTGAATTTATCAGCTTTTATCTACCTTGTGAATATTCAAACCAACAAAATGAGGCCAAATTCACAATTGTACAGAAGAAACAAGTGAACTAAAATAATTAAAAAGCCATAGCTGAGATGAGGTAACTATTCTCCTGCATTAATCAGATCGTCTCTGCACTGCTTGGTACTTTTTGTCTCCAGTCTTTCCCCCTGCTTTGTTAATGTGCCCTATTATGCATGAGCAAGGGCAGCTTTCTGAAAATAGACAAGATTATTAAAGCAGTGCATTCAATTTTCTACAACTTCCATTTTGCTTGAAAGGCAGCCAAATTCGGAGTAATATGGCTTTTTATTGAAAAAATTAGGTACATATAGAGAGCAAATTTAACCTCAATTATAAGTCAAACAGCACGTGTAGGTCTGACTGCTAATTTTGCATAAGAACACTTTGTTCAAANGTGGAAATGGTGTAGGGGATTACAAGGTGGGGAATAGAACCCCCACCAAGAAGGTGGACGTTTAGATAGCCGACCAACTGACCTCTTAAGATTCCCTATGTAATGAAACGAGACTGTTCAAAAAGAACAAAAAAGTTTGATTTTTGTGTTAAATTGCTGGTGGTAGAAGAATATCTTAAAGCAGGACTAAAGTTGGAAAGCTGATTCTTTCTATATAGTTACACCACATTATGGTAAAAATTCAAATTTTTAAATGAAGTTAGATCTTTTGAAGTTGTTGTGTACTAGCTTTTATTCTTGAAGTGTTCAAATATTTTTGTGCGACCAGATTAAGTTATGATCACGTTACTGGGATGAGGACAGTAGTAGTACACTTGGATAGACAGAGAAAAGGAAGAATGAGGTTAGATGGTTCTTTAAGGACTAACCCGCTTTTGCTCTTCCATCCTTGCCTTTATTAAAGAGTAGATAGCAACACCTGCAATGGCTATTGCAGTACCAATCCCAGTTTGAGTTGATATCTTGTTCCCTGCAAAGTTTTGAAACAGTTAAGCACAGAACAAATTAACATACTGAATCAAGAATCTGGACAATTATCAAGGTCATGAAGCACAGTGTTGAAAGTTAAGTTGTACAATGCACCAGTAGCTTTTATGCACTGCAGCAGAAATGTAACAGACAGATTTCTTAGCCGTCAGTGGGAACTTTGGCAACCAGAGTTGAAAAGAACTCGTCAACAAGGACTTGATTTAGCTCGAGGGATGCTTGGACTTCGAGAATTCTTGATTGATACTATCAGGAAAGTTAATCTAAAAATCTTAGTATCAGGCAAAGTTTACTTATCCTTTAATTTTATATTGCAGACAGACAGACGCACACTTCAATTGTAGAGTATCAAGAACTCATAATTCATTCGTTTGACATATATAAAAACACATGTATTGTGGTGAGAGCATATTAGAGCATACGCTTACCAAATACCACAATAGAGAAACCAATCACAAAAACTCGCTTCAGTACATTTCCAACAGCATGTGTAAGTGGCGCAACCCGCTCTAATGTGTTGGTAGCTACCTGCAAAGGTAAAAAATTATAAATTTTATGAAATTAGAGGAATTAACTCGAGGAAATTAACCAGAAAAACTTGAACTATGAAAAGATTATAAACTCTACTAAAACCCTAATGCATTGATTATTCACATACGCGATGCCTACCTGGTTATACAGATGATAGAACATCCCTATCCAAAAGAGGTCAGATAAGAACTTATAAAGGCCAACTTTAGTAATGGCATCCCTGAAACCATACTGCATTAGTTGGGGTCCTTCAATCTGACATTGCATATTGCTGCCACCAATTAGTTCTATCTTCATAATATACTGAGAAAGCAGGTTAAAGCATCTCTGAGCAAAGCAAACTTACAAATATGGCTGGAGGGAGGCAAAAGAGGAGGGCCATAATTGAAATATATGCGTATACATTTGTACTATCCATTCCAGTCTGCGAAAAACAACATACCAAGAAATGGAGATGAGTTTCAATGCATTTTTGGATGTTAGTAAGCCTACCTGTATATTTAGTCCAGCGTGAAGGTAATGCTGGCATAGTTTATATCAGAGCAGAGTAGTACCATATGGGGAAAATACTTACCATCGCTTTCTTTGAGTAGATACTTCTGTAAGTAAAAGCAATATTTGAGATCATTGCGCTAGTGAAGCCAGTCCAATTGAATGACAGTTCAGTCAATGAAGCCATCGATACCCCTAAAAAGTTTCAGCCATCAGTTTTGTTTTGATCAGAATTTGAGCAGGCTAGGTTGGCAAGAAGAATGAGGTAGAACCTCAGTGTTGAGGATTTGTTGGTCATCCAACGTACGTGGTTAATCTTCTAAGTAAGTTTTTTTTTTCTATGGGATACTGTAAAAGTTGTTTTGAGTTTTGCGGTTACAGCCAAGATTTTTTGAGCAGCTGGTAAATGTTGGAACTAGTGGAAGAAAAGAAAAACAGTGCTATATATGACACTTACCAATGACAACAGGGGTCAGTGATAACCACAGAGAGATGGGAATCTGGTGCCCCAAGACAAACTGAGAAGCAGCTGCACTGAAGAACGGCTCCAGCGCTGTCCAACAACAATGAGAAAATGTCAGTTTTTCCAGAATAAGTTTGTAATGAAGTATTCTGAACTGTTTTTTATTTCTAAAACTAATTTCAGATGCCATATATCAGCCTTAACAACCACTATTTATGTAATGATGTCATATCTACTTATTTGAACTGTATAAATTTATAAGCATCCGTTATTCAAAACAAAAAAATTAGCGAGCTAAAGTAGTGTCTCTTGTTGAGTTATTACCTTTGATGGTATGAGTGAAGGATACAGCAACAGTTGCAAATGATACATTAGACATAACATGTCCAAGAGCATGACAAAATGCTACTGGAGTGAGCAGTGCCAGAAGTTCCTTATTGATGGGCTTATCATATAATTTGACCAATGCAAGCAAGTTAATTAAAGCCAGCTGATGAGCATATTAACAAAATATATATAAATAATGCAGAAAAATGAAACTTACTGCACGTTTAGGTAGACCAACAGACCAACTAATAAGACAATAGGTTACTCCAACTAGGAGATGTACAACTGAAACAAAGCTGCAAAAGCATAAAAAAAATCATGTTCAAGAAGTTAAACTCAAGGGGAGCTGTCATTTTCTTTATTTGCATAACAGGATATTAGATTTAACAGTCTCTCAAATTACTAATGGCACTTACTATGGGTATGGGAAATAATTGTAGACCTTCTTGTTGAGTATATTGAAAATCACATTCAGAAAATACCTTCATTAGAAGACTTAATGATCAGATTCATTTGAAAATTGGCATAAGAAACTTTTAGCTATCAGATAAATGTAAAACTATATCTCCAATCAGTGGCAGAACTAGGTGGAGTGAAGGGTGTTCAATCGAATCCCTTTTGTCGAAAGATTATACCAAGCAAATGGAGTAAAGACAAATTCTATATATATTCCGTTGAATCTCCTTGACACAAGGAAAAATTCTAGTGTAGCAGTTTATTTTTCTGAATCCTCTTATATAAGTTCCTGGCTTCGTCGCTGTGTCNAAAAAAAACTCTTTCTTTGAAAAAACAAAAAGTAACCAAAAAAAGCTAGTAAAAGATTTACAAGTCAAATAACTTGCTAGTCCAAAAGTCACCCAACAGCTTACCACGTAAAGAAAAAGAATCCAGTAACTAGAGCTGGAAATTTTTCAGGAAAGCCTTTAGTTGGTTTAGCATACCTGCTTACAAAATTGAAAATCAATAAAATAATACTGTAAAATTTGTAAATAAAATGAAAAATAAAGTCCAAAATATAAAAAGAAAAAGAAAATCAAACCCATCAGTAATTTCAATGTCATGACCCTCTGAATCAGCAGCTGCAGCCTTTGTGATAAAAACATCAACAGTGTTTCTTGGCTTCAGTAGTTGACTGCATTTAACTAACTTCAGGGGCTTTCTAGATAACCCCACAGGTGAAAGTTCAAAGCTTTTGGAATTTGAAACAACTGATAGACTTCTCAAAGGAACTAAATTTGTACTAGCAACTTTGTGGGTTGAAGAAAAATTTGATCTTTGTAGAGAAAACTGAATGGAACTAGGCATTGAAGCCATGATCAAAAGAGATGAAATTGAAACCAAAGCTTATATTGGAATAATGCAAAAACACCAAGAATTCAACAAAAAGTATATGGAATTTGTATTAAAAGTCTCTTTAGAGAAAAACCAACAAGAAAAATGAGAAATTGAAGTAGTAGTATAACGTTGAAACCAAGGTTGTGATTAGTTCAAGAGCGGAGATATCAAGAAGAAAAAAATGAGGAAATAATTGATAGCTATTTTGAGACTTTCAGTTGGATGATTAATTAACAGAGAGAAAAAGGGAGGGAAAGGGAAGAGGAAGATATGTTTGATTCATTAGGCCGTTATGTTCTCTTTAATATGAAAGCTCCTTTTGATGGTTGCTTGTATCTATTTTGAGTATTTTCCTTTCTTTTTGTTGGTAGTAATCGGGGGTTAAAACTCAACCGGAAAATCGTACCAAACCGAAAAGATAAATTAAACCGATTAAAAAAAATTCGATTAGGTTTAATTTGATATTAATTAAAAAAATCCGAACCCGATATATAAATATATAATTTTTATATATACATATATTTTACACATTATATCGAATTTTCTTTAAAATATATTTAAAAATATTTGACATTCTTTTACAAGATGTAATATTTAATAGAATAATAATATCTGTTTTGAAGATCTCTAATAATCACTTTCTGAATGCTATGTTACCTTACATTATATTATGTTATGTTATATATTATTTATTATTTATTATTTATTATTAGTGTTATTATTACTACTAGAGGTGTACATTGATCGGGTTGGTTCGACTTTTATCAAAATAAAATCAAATCAACTATATATCGGTTTAGTTTGGTGCAGTTTGTCCATAAATGTTAGTAACTCAAAGAAATCACAAACCAAAATCAAAAATCAATACTAACGCTAACAAAAGACATTCAATTTAATTGTACTAGAAATGAGAATAGTGTTGGATATCTATTTTTTTGTTTTTTCATGGTTTAAATAAAATGTATAATGCATATATTTTTTTAGTGTTTAGTCATGTAAATAATAGTATTTATTAGTCGTATTTATTTTAACAACACCATGACTCATATCACATTTTATGTTATTTTCTTGAGAAATACCTTATATAATTCTGTCTTACTAGGATTAAAGAAATATTTGGAGCACAAATTCTATGTTTTATGCTATGAAGACTTTATAAAAAAAATCAAAAAAATTCGAAAAACCCGAGATAAAAAATCTGACTTTTATTGGTTTGATTTGTCTTTAGATTTAATAACCCGACACAACTAATTTAATTTGGTAATTGAAAAATTCGAATCAACCCGACCTATATATACATCCCTAGTGACCAGTGATGTGAGAATTATATATCATATTAATTTTCTTCCCCAAGACATTTTAATATAATGTAAGCCGTCTTATTTCATTTACTTTGAAGAGAACCAGCTGGTTTTAACAATTATTTTTAAAGATATATTCATTTTAATAGGTAATAGTACTTAAAAATTAATAGATTTCATATGGAAAAGCTTCTTTTAGAAAACCTGAAAATTATTACTCAGAAAGTAACTAAACAAATCATTTTGGGCAAATGTCTTCAAGGATTTTTGAACTTTCCTTCCCTAAACCCTCTTTTCCAATCCCCCAACAAAAAAAAACACACACACACATACACATTTTATTAAAATAATGGATTGAAAAACAAAAAGAAAAATAAAAAAGGCCACGTCAACCCAAAAATGCCTATTTTCTTGGTGATGATATTAGGACAAAGCTTTACTGTTGTATGAGTTATAAATTTAGAGCCCGTTTGACTTAGCTGATTTAGAGTAGCTGATAAACATTCAGTGCTGAAAAACACTTTTAATTGCTGAAGTTGATTTAAAAAATAAACAGTTACGTGTTTGGATAAAAATACTGAAATTAATAATAAGCAGTTGAAAAACTGGGTATACAAAAAGTTTTGTTTTAAAAAGAAGTATTTTAAGGATAGAATAGTAAATATTTTGGTCAAACCTAAAGTGCTTATAAGGTGAAATTTGATAAGTTGGGGAGACTAACTTATGACTTTTGGCTTGTTTTTGGCTTACAAGTACTTAACTGATAAACACTTTTAATTTTGTTAAACACGTAAATAAGCCAAAAAATATTTATAAGCCAGTTTAACCAGCTTATAAGCTTAGCTAAACACCATCTTAGAATAATGTACATATGACCTTTGGATGATACTTTGGTCATGGAACCAGAAAAGAAGCTTTTGTGATCAACTGATATCCTTATTTGTTTTTTTCTTAATTTGTTCTTTCAATATCTCTTTACTATTCTATTAACAATAAGAGAGAATTGGTTTTGACGTATTACGTTTCAACTAAAGGAAAGAAAGGCATGGCGCATGGGTAAGGGGAGCTGGACTGCTTCTTGATCTCGTCACCATTCAATAATGGCAAATAATGAAATAAAGTATACTATTTGTTTATTTTCTAATCTGACAATATAAATTTTATAGTGTTTGACGTGCAATATTTTAAGAGAATTTTAATTAAGACATTTCAATTTGGGCTAGCTTTGTTAGCTACTCATATTAGACTATTGTTATAATATAAACAACAAATAAATGCTTTTCAAATAAAAAGTTGTGTTCTTAAGTTGTATTTCTTCACTATAAGTTGTTAGTTGTTACTATTTGCTTTGCAGAAAAACAACAATCTTCTAATATTGTTGTCTCCTTCAAAAAGTCTATATTTTCCAAAATCGTGCACTTGAAAATCAAAAGTGTTCTTACAAATTAATAGGCTTGTCATATTTACTAAAATTATTTATATATAATCTCATAGCAATCTCGTAAAAGAGATATCACTTTTAGATTTTATGTGTTTCAAGTCAAGTTATTTGGGTTCTCATTTATATTTTCAAACAACTCATCCTTCCAGATATATGATATATATGTCCACTCCACTTTTTAAAATGTACGTATAAAGTGATATTCTATCTATTTTAACTTATATGTTGCTATTTAAATGGACACGATGTTTATGATGTTTGAGTTTTATGATATGGTAATAGAAGAAAATTATTAAAATAATAGTTGAAAAGCGAGCAAACATCTCATCAAAGTTAAAGTTTGAATAACTTATTAAGTTGAAGTTTTGAAATTTGTATATGTTAGAAGTCTAACATAATAAATTGCTAGCTAGATCAGTCAATAATAATAGAGTACAAAATAGGTAAAATACATAATTTACCTATTAGACACATTACTTTTGACCAGATAGCACTTACGTATTTACACACAAAAAAACATGTGAAGCCCGTAAAAAATCTCACTTTTTGTCTCCCCTCCCTACAAGAACCCCTCTCCCTCCCTCTGGCCTTCTCCTCACCTCCCTCCCCCTCATTTTTTTTCCCAAATAAAATTTTTGAAAGAACATATCAATTTTAGATTTAAAATTGAGCGAATTTTGTCGGTTTATTATCCAAGTATTGTGAAAACTATTTATTTGTGATAGATTTAAAAACTTTAACAGTAGTATTGAAGGTTTGGTGAAAAAATCTAGAATTCGCCATTGTTGGGGAATCAAAAAAGGCTTGAAAATTCAATTGGGTCGTTTTGATTGTTGGGTTATTGAACTCAGTTTGTTACTCGATTCTTTTCAGCCAGTTGTGTAGATAGTGTGGTTGAATTTTAGTGTTGTTAGAAACTTTCTCACAAACAATCATGGTGGTAGCAACAATGGTGCTTGAGATAGAAAATGAAAAAATGAAGAAGATGGATTTTAATTTTAATTTTGAATATTCTTTTCCTTTTTAAAGTCAATGACACGTGTCATGACCCTAATAGGGCATGACTTTCATGTTATCTAAAAAATTGGTCAAGCACAAAAGTAGTGTGTCTTAGCCACACTTTTGAAAGGTTGAGTGTGTAAAAGGTTTTTCGTGAAAGAGAGGTGTGTAACAAAGATTTCACAGCAAGGTTGATAGGTAAACTATGTATTTTGCCTACATAATAAATAAAAAATTACAAAAGACTGTGTACCTATGATGTTTGACCATAATTTTATATTATTAGTACTTTACTTGCCATACATTTTGTTAGTTTAGTGGTTAATTGTGCAATTTTTGAAGTAAATATGTTGTTTTATGTGTAGGATCATCGGAAGATAAAGACGAGTGAAAGTTGCTCAAAAATACAAGAAAAAAGCATGAAAGTACGTTGAACTCATTCCTGGCTCCAGACCAGGTGTCGCCATCTCCTATGGGAGCAGTTGCAATTGAGTCGGAAGATGGAGTTCAAAAGTTCACAGTCAACGGGCAAAGGCTAAAAATACTACCTTAGCATGGACAATGAGGAAAAAGTTATGTCAGTGATTTATTTGAAGAAACCCCTAAGGGGTCGTTTGGTACGAGGTATAAGAAGGTATAAGCGTGATGTAAAAATTTAATACCACCTTAATATACTGTTTGGTTACCAAACTAGGTATAAGTTATCCCAGTGTTAATTTTAACACTGGCATAACTTATACCTTATAGAAGGTGGGGTAATTAGCACCGATATAACTTATACCTTCTTCTTAGAAATTATGGAATTGTCATTCTTAATACAACATACCAAATAATGAACAAACAACAATCCCAACATAACTAATCCCAACATAACTTATCCTAATATAACTTATACCGGCATAACTTATACCGGTATAAATCGTATTCCAACCAAACGACCCTTAAGTGTAGAGTGGCCTTGATCACAGTTGACTGCATCATGCCGCGACGTTAAATCAGACACTTCATGGGAGGCAATCCATTGTAATGTTGTATTCATCATGTCGTGACATTAAGTAAGGAGCTTGTTGGGAGGCAACCCATTTCTTAGAGTAGTTTATTTTTTATTTTTTATTTTAGGGACTAATGAGTTTATGTTGAATGGTTTCAGGTTGGCTGATTAGGTACAGGCATGTGAAAATTGAAAGTAAGTGACCAGGAGTCAAGAATTAAGCGAAAACCGCACTATATTGCGCCTCAGAATATGCCAGGCGAAGGACCTAGCTTGCAATAGCCTGGGCGTCGCGAGCTTTATCACTTGCCTGTTCTCGCATCCAAGCAAGCGCCGTGAGCTCAAAGGCGAGCTCTAGCATGCGCCCTGCCTCGCGTCACCCAGCCCCAAGCGCACCTCAACCCACGCGTCGTCTGGTCTATCGCGAGTCCCACGTCGCGTCTGGCCTCGCGGCGCCAGGTAAGATTTTTTTCCTTTTCTTCTTCTTTTCCCTATAAAACTGAAACATACACGCACACAACAAATTAAAATGCCCATCCCC